GCCTCCTGCTTCTGAGGCAGTTCTAAGACTTAGCAAAATATATGGGTGAGAGCGATGGGAACACAGGAAGTTGTCTTATATTGACTCAGCTCACTGTTCCATCTAGTCTGGCATTGCCAACTCCAACCAGGGCTGTAATGACAGCAGGTCACCCAGGATCCCCACAATCTACAGCAGTGGTTCCCAACTCTGGGTCCCCAGATGTTCTTGGACTGCAACTCCCAGAAGCCTTTCCTACTAGCTGTGCTGGCCAGGATTTCTGGGAGTTGTAGTCCAAGAACATCTGGGGGCCCAAACTTGGGAACCTCTAATCAAGAGTCTCCAAAATCTAGCAGTAAATCTGCTGGTAAAAGTAAGGAAAATGTTTGGCTGTACCTCCTGGCCCTGTTCACTTTTCTTGTTTTGAAAGCTTTAAAATGATATTCCTTTAGGCGGGGAAGCATCATATTCCACCCTCCATTCCTTTTTCTTGGAGGTGAGATTTCCTGCCCTTGCCGTGGGTCAGAATGGATGGGAGATCCTGTTGCTTGTTCAGGGTGCCAACATGACTAGCAACACCTCTGACTCTAACCAACAACGATGGTAGACTCACCACCATTTGCTCTTGGTTACTGGGTTGACCTCCCAGGACTGTTATAAGCATTGTTGAGATGCTGTGCTTTTCATAGTTCCCTGTAAATGCGAGGTGTCATGATAATCTCTTGTTGGCACTATATAACAGTTTACTTTATGTTGAATGGATTTTACTATCAGGGCTTGCGGAAGCCTCGAAGGAGTAAACAAGGACCCGGAGCCCGGGTATCCTGTGTTCAAAAGGTGAGCGGAAGGTTAATCTTAAATTCAAGAGGTCTGAAAATGCACTTAACCTAGAAATTCGGTGTGCTAACAATAGTGCTGGTCAATCTTGCTGCTGTTCTCTGCGTGTCCTGATTAGATGTTATCAATTCAATTCAGGTAATTTGTCTGGGAAGCCAGAGACTGCCAAATAACGCCTTCTTAATTTATCCTACAGTCCAGCTTTCCTCAATCTGATGTCCTCCAGATCTTTTAGCCTATTCGCCCTGATCAGTGACGATTGTAGAACGGAAAGTAGAACAAGTTACATCCAACTGATGTTCCTTCTGTTTCCCATTTGCTAAATACAGTACATATGGGGTGGGTGTTCCAAGGTTCCTTCTGTTTCCCATTTGCTAAATACATATGGGGTGGATGTTCCACTGGATTCAAGACCCTTCCGTCAACAGAAGGACACCAGTCCCATACAACTCTGTGTAACAAGGTATGTTCTGTGTTCCCGTTTCTTCTGTGGTCCCATCGACCCAGCCAGCTGTGGTGGTAATATTCGTATTCGTTTCCCCCAGGAGATGAATACGGATATCCCATCTCTCTTCGTGGCTCACAATTAATAATTCTAACTGCTGGACTTCGCTTCCTCTTGATGATGAACAAAGCCCCTTCAGCAGAAGAAATACCCATTCTCCCTCTTATCTTTGCCATGAAAACCTTCACCTACAATGCACATGTTCTGAGCTGTCAAGTAGGAACCAATTTGTATATGTGAGATATAGTGAATATATGGTGAAGGCTTCTGGGAGTTGTAGTCCAGGAACATCTGGAGGCCCAAGGTTGGGGGCCACTGCACCATACCACATTGGAAACCATGCTCTGGCTGGCTTTAAAAAGCCTCCATAGGGCATTCAATGCCATGCTCTCCCACTGATGGCTCCGGCGCACCGAGGCATTGGACTGCCCCTTGGGTGGTGCAGGATGGTGGTTCTCGTTTCTTGTTCCTTTCGCTGGAACCCAATGCTTAGGCAAAACCAAGTTGGGCGTAGCGGGGACTCTTTGTCAGACCAGAGACGGGTGTTTTGGAAAAACGTCAAACCACCGTTTTGAAAAACGAAAACAAGGGAAATGGGAACGAGACAGAGCGTGTTCCGTGTTGACCTCATGGAGAAGGAGGAGGAGGAGAACAGTAAGAAGGAAAAGGGAATGGCCCAGGGCTATTGCAGCCACAGCTGGCCAGCCTGGATTGAATTGCCAGCAGCTGCTGAGCCAGCTGGACCCACAGCTGAGCCCTCCGGGGAGGCTCTGGTTTAAGCAAAGCATCTTCAGTTCTGGTCTTGGAAAACTGGGGAGCTGCTAGGCTCCCTCTGAACACGATTCCTCCTCATTCAGCAAGCGACTTCCTATCAGCACTGCTTTAAAAGCTGGATATTCATTCATTTAGGAGGACCAGAAATCCCAAAGATTTTGCAGGCAGTAGAGCCACCATGGGGGCATTCTGGGAGTTGTTGCTGAAAAAAAATGCAACTTTTCCAAACTCTTGTCAATGGTTCCCAGTTTCAATATACTGACCCTTCTATTCGGAGGGTTCATTATCTAACATTCCTCAAGAAACTTACCGGTAACTTCCCTATGGAGCTGTGGAACTCTACATGAAGGGAACGGTTCCCAGTTTCAATATACTGACCCTTCTACTTGGAGGGTCCATTATCTAACATTCCTCAAGAAACTTAACTTCCCTACAGAGCTGTGGAACTCTACATGAAGGGAATGGAGAAACACACTTCTCCTTTGAATTGCACATGTCTGAGCAGCATGGTTACGGTGATCCCCCCCCAAGAAATATAAATATTCCATGAAATAAATATTCAATAAATATATATTTAACAAATACTGTGCTCCTGGCCATCTAGAACCCCATGAGTTCAACACCAAAGGCTTTGAAGGTGTTTCATGGCAAGAGTTGCTTGGGAACTGGGCAGATGGAAAGCACCTTGAGATTCAGAGGGGGCATCGCCCCTGCTCATTAAGCCATCCATGCTAGACCAAACACAAAGATTTGAAGAGGTAGGAGGGAAAGTGGGAGTGGAAAAACATACAGAAATACATATATATCCAAGGGAAAAGGAGTCAAACCCCCACCCCCATGGAGTCAGCATGTTCATGGGGCAAAGAAAGCTGGGTGCTGAGGGGAGGAGAAACGCAGGGGTGAATGTGAACAGGGTAGAGTATCTTACACGTAGTCAAGGCTGGAACCCCAATCAAGAACATTCTGTACTGCAACATTTTGTTGCAGGCACCAGTTGTTTCTTAATAAATCTATCAAATCCAGGGTTAATTCCACAGGTTACTCATGTAGTAACAAAATAATTCCCTTCTCAATGGCCTGCAAATTATTTTCATTACATGACTGTGAGTCGAGCTATCTGCTAGGCCTCCCATATCCATCATCCCCTGGGTGATTTTCCCCTGGGGGCAACCTATCCATGGAAGAAGGTGGCTGTGTCACTGACAGTCAAACTGCTGATCCTGCCAGGGCGGCTGGTGGAAGTGGAAAGAAAAACAATAGAAGGGCCTTCCCTTTCTGAATCAACTTGTTTTGTAAAGCATAAAAGCCCCCCAACGGGCTACTCCTTGTAAAGCAAGCTTTACATTCCCGCCATCATTGTTCACACCAAATTGGCTTTCAAGCGTCTCCCGCTTAGAAGGGCAGGGATTGGGTGTGTTTCAAGCATTACTCAGCTTTGAGTCAGAGCACTCGGGCGGTCAATCCCACCCTTAACCAGGGAGCACAGTTAAACAATCACAAAATAAACACAGAACCTGGAATGATGGCTTATAGAAGGGAAGAGAGCCCTCGTGTGGTCTACTCACGTCACTGTAAATGCAAACAACCTATTTGAGGAATAAATACTTATATTTAACTTTTGTGTGCCCTCGTGTCTGTAAGAGGGATTTAGGTAAAGGCCGTAACACAAAAATAACGCACAATATGGATCAAAACCAGGAGGCGACACATGCTTCTCAGCTAAATTTATAGCCCTTTGTCCCCTCAAGCCAAATGCTGTTCAAGCCTCTCCTCTTAATGGTTTCATAGGACCGTCGTGGCTTCTGTCAGCTGCTGTCAAGTCGCATTGAGCTTACAGTGGTCCTTCCAGGGTTTTCACAGTATGTGAGATATTTATGGAGTCATTTTTCTGGTTCCACACTCATGAGATTCCATGGCTAAGCGGGGAATCAAACCCACGTCTCCTGAGACTCCGTGGGTCCCTCGATCCACTACAACACTCTGGGCTGTTCCCTTTTGAATGCTTAGAAGCACCACGTAAATATTTACGCTTTAACTTGTAGAATCGCCACCTTATTGTTTGTAGCTGGAATCTTAGTGCAAAATTCCAGGTGCATAAAAGAAGAAGCTTTCAGTGTTTTTTTCTGGCCCACTGTTGTACATGCATGCGCACAGCCCAGTGTCTGAGATGGGTATGAGATGGGGCTATCTAGCATTGGATAGATACCTGAAAGGATCCTGCAGACCAGCTGTGCACCTTTGGGAAAACGCTGCACAACCCCAAATCTGGCCCATTATTTTTGTTGCCGATAAAGTATTTGAACTGGTTGCAGTGAGTTCGATTCCCCACTTGTGCCTTTGTGAGTAGAGCCAGCCTGGGTAGCCTTGGCCAAGCAGCAGAGTCCCAGGGTGCCCCCTAGAGGAAGGGGATGGTAGCCCACTTCTCTGCATTCTCTACCCAGAAAATGGCACATCATGCGTGCACATGAGGCCTCCTCCCCAAATGTGATCCTGTTCCCTCTCAGGGTAACTTTTGTTCGAGAGTCATGCTGACTAAAAATATTACTTTTAGTCCTTCGAAACATCTTGGAAATCAAAGAGATGACCTTGAACTAAAAATTCCCCGGGGGAATATTTTGAAAAGATTGGGCATGCTAAAAATCGCATTTCCATTTGGAAACTCATCTGCTTTCAAAGAAATGCAAAATGTTGATTTATGTCTAACGTCTCTAACCTTGTAATGTTGATCAAAAACTGCAGCCCTGTCGTCCATTCCCTTTTCTCCTCTTGGCAAGAGTTTTGATAACGGAAACTCACCCCAAAACTCAGCCTCCTTCGCCACCGCTCTGACTCAGCCTTCGGTATTCCGTGATGCGAACAAGAATGGGAAAACGGGGCGTGAAAAGACCTCTCGAGGTAGCCTTACCTGCATGCCGCAAACGGGAGCTCCCTCTTCTGGGACAACTCCATGCGCTTCTCACTCCCTGCTGACATCTTCCACTGTGAAATGTGTAGGTGGGAGCTTTTCCTGTTCATCTCGCTGCTGCAGCTGGATTCGGGTTTCTTTTCCCCCGCTTGGCCCTTTTGTGGAACCCGTTTGGCCAACGGTTCACCTCGGCCACAGGCGGGACTGGTGGCTAGTTCATTGTTGGTGCTCGTGGGTGGATTGAATAAAGTCTTGGGTGAACCATCCTGGCTTAAATCCAAGGAATCGGCACTGTGTGATGAACAGAGATTTGCAGATATCTTTGAAATTCCTACCGTTCTGCGGGAATCTTCCTCTGGTGTGGTCAAACCGCTCTTTCTGCCTTCTTGCTCAGCAAGAGATGCTGGGCTGCCCATTCCAGAAGGCCATTTTAGAGGCTTTATTTTTAAGGAATCCTAAAATAAATGGCCAATAGAGAATATACATGGTTAGAGTCCGGTGCATGTAAAACTTTTAAAAAACATTTAAGTCCAGGTGGATATGCTAGCCTGAGAGAGGTAGATCTGGCCAATTTATATGGAATTCCATAAACACTAGATTTCCTGAGCATCCACAAATGTCTCTCTGCTTTCTTGATTGGGGCTGATTTGGGTGACCTTTTTCGGTTCAACATGGTAGCTGTGTGGAAAAAAAAACTCACCCACGTCAACTTCCAGGTCCTGCTAGATCTTCATGGGCTGAAGCAACCAGAAGGAAGCAGTTTTGCTCAGAAAAGTTCCAAAATTGTTCTCCACAGGGAACTCTGTTTACTTCAGATCATCTTTGCAGGAACCTCAGCACTCCTCTGATGTCATCCCAGAATATTCCAGAAAATTTTGAGCCATGTTCTGTACAACCTTCTTCAACCTCATTTGAGGTTGAAAGAAGGAAGGAAGGAGCAGATGATGTATGTATGTATGTATGTATGGAAGGAAGGAAGGAAGGAAGGGAGGAAGGAAGGAAGGGAGGAAGGAAGGAAGGGAGGAAGGAAGGAAGGGAGGAAGGAAGGAAGGGAGGAAGGAAGGAAGGGAGGAAGGAAGGAAGGGAGGAAGGAAGGAAGGGAGGAAGGAAGGAAGGGAGGAAGGAAGGAAGGGAGGAAGGAAGGAAGGGAGGAAGGAAGGAAGGGAGGAAGGAAGGAAGGGAGGAAGGAAGGAAGGGAGGAAGGAAGGAAGGGAGGAAGGAAGGAAGGGAGGAAGGAAGGAAGGGAGGAAGGAAGGAAGGGAGGAAGGAAGGAAGGGAGGAAGGAAGGAAGGGAGGAAGGAAGGAAGGAAGGAGCAGATGATGGCTGTATGGAAGGAAGGGAGGAAGGAAGGAAGGAAGGAAGAGGGGGGTAGAGAGAAATAATTTGGACAAGATTTAATGACCTCTGGAGAGCTGTCTTTGGGACCAGCCATCATTTCGGTAGCAATGAGTCCACCCGCTCTGGCTTGAAGGTTTTGCCTCATGGCAGTTTTGGTCCAGGAATGTTGCTCTGGGGTCTGCCAGCCCCCACAGTGATTTACAAGCTTCTTCTCTCCCTCCGCAGGATCAGTTGTGTTTCTCTCACTTCTCTTGTGAAGACGCTGCCTGGGAAGGCTAGCGGGTCTGGTCGTTGTCTCATGGATTGCAAAGCTAGGATGACACAGATGCAAAAACAGATGAAATAATTTGGTGTGTGTGTGAGTGAGACAAATGAAATAAAACTGCAAGTCACCAGATTGTCCATAAGAATTGCTTTTATGGTATATTTCAGGAAACCTGAGGTAATTGAGAACTGAAAGTAATAGAAAGCTGAGTAATGCAAAGGCAGCGTTGTGTAACGGTTAGAGTCTTGGCCATGGCACTTGATAAACCTGGATTAAGCCAAGAAACTCATCATGTTACTTGGGGTCAGTCTTCTCTCTCAGTCTGAGCTACTTTGCAGGATTGTTGTGAAGATTAATCATCACCATGCTCATCTTAGAACTGCAGAGCTGGAAGGGACCTTATGGATCACTGAATCAAGTCCCTGTCAAGGAGACCCAGCGGGGAATCGAACCCCCAACCTCTGGCTCTGCACTCGGAGACCTAAACCACTGAGCTATCCAGCAGATTAAGCGGGGAAGAGAGGGAGCTGTGAATGCCACTTGGAGCTCACCCCAAGAATGATGGAAAGGAAACATAGGGGATAAATAAATACTCTGCTAACAGTATTTTGTAAACATAAGCACCCACTTCCATGGTAAGGAAATATCGTATTTAATTCCTTACACCACACCATTACAGTAAATCAGTAAATCTTTACAGAGTTCACACAGCATACCAAGTAAGAGGCCGAGCTAGAAATCAAGAAGTGTTCTGGATGAATTTTCAACACTTCCCATTCCTTATGTGGGCTTAAGCCAAGCTGCAGTTCCCGCACATCATGATTAATAACAGAGATTTAAGTGGTCAGGGTTTTGGGACACAGGAGAGCGGTGGACTTAAGCCAAGCTGCAGTTCCCGCATGTCATGATTAATAACACAGATTTAAGTGATCAGGGTTTTGGGACACGGGAGAGCTGATCCTAGTTACAGAATCAAAGAATAATAAAGTTGGAAGGAACAAGGCCATTCCTCCTCACTGAAGCATCAACCTCACTGGGTCACCTTGGGCTTGTCTCTTTATCTCCGATCTACCTCAAAGGGATGTTGTGAGGATAAAGTACAGAAGAACAAAGCCATTGCTTGAAGAGCCTTAAGTCACTGGAGAACCGTTTGGATGTAAACAGAATGCCACGTGATGTGTTTTGAACATATGAAAGTGTGGTTCAAATGCTTATGACTATTATTAAAACCTAAATGACATTTAAAATCACATCTTCAAAGGGCTGTCCTACCCATTGAAATTTGCATTCAAGCCTACTTTCAGCCTTGGGAGCACCATTTTCCAAGGTTATGGTAGCTGAGGCATCCTCTCCTCTCTCTAAACTGACAGAAACAAATATGTAAATCCTGTCAGATTATGTGCAGTGAAATTTCCAAATTACTTCTTATTACAGTAATTGATTTCTCTGTACGGTGCCATAAGGCTAGGAAAAGCTGAAGGCAACAAGAAAAGAGGGAGACCCAAGATGAGAGGGATGGGCTCTGTCAAGGAAGCCACAGATTTGAGTTGAGCTGAGCAGGACAGTTGAGGAGGCTGCTTTTTTGAGGTCATTTACTCCTGGGGTGATCGGGTAATGCAACGACCCTGTTTGAAATCAACTGCAGAGTCTGGTGACACGGGGGGAATTGATAGCCTTTTGTCTTGCTGTGATCACGCCATGTAATGGGGGAATTGCCCTTCAGCCGGGCCCCAATCCGTGACCCAGCTGGGCCTTTTTGGTCCCGCTTTAGGCCTAACTGCTTTTTGGGAACTGGCCTGGAAAGATTCCCCAGACCGACAGAAAGGTCCCCTTCAGGGAGATTGCTCCTGTTCCACTGACTTTTTCTAGTGTGATTTTGGGCACGCATGTTTCCTCTGGTCTGATCTCACCCGGTGGACAAGATCCAGCAACGACAAGAAAAAAGAAAATATAATTTAATCCTAGCCTCTCCGACTCTCCATACTCTTTGGCTACCAAGGCTAGCCAGAAAAAAAAGAATGCCTTCAAAATTGCAATGTTCAGTTTGGAACCTATAAGTAAGTAAGTAAGTAAGTAAGTAAGTAAGTAAGTAAGTAAGTAAGTAAGTAAGTAAGTAACCCTCTAAAGCTATAAATATGGTTTTAAAAGGAGCCGGAGCCACTGGGAGCAGGAAACATGAAGGGTTTTGTGTTATTCCCAAAATGAATTCATTCACCACCACAGGATGCAAGTTTGGGAAAAGCTGTTTTATACAGACATCTCCAGCATCCCCCCACAAAAAAATCACACCCAGTCTGGTGCGGCTTATAATTACAGGGGACTGTGGGTATTGTAGTCCAGTGGGGTGTAGGTGTTGTAGTCCACGCAAGCCATTTCCCACCTTTTCCTTACTCCCATGTAGTGGTAGGAAGAGAATGGCATCCTTTTAAAAATAAAACCTGTAGAAATTAATTCTTGACACAGCCATGCATATTTAGCTTGCATGCGGGCAGTTAACATTTCTTAACACTTTCCTCAGCTTTTTAAAAATTGTGTTAAGTGGATTTCAGGAGAGCGCGGGAGATAACATTACTGAACTACAACTCCCAAACTCCCCTCAGCCACCATAACTTCAGAGGACTGGTCATGGTGCCTCAGGAATTGTGGGAATCGTAGTCCAAGGCAAACAGTCCACTGAGCACACCGGACCGAGCTCGCTCGCGCCTGCGCAGAAAGAGACCCCCGCCTTTTTCCCTTCCTTCCCCACCCCCACTACAGAGAACCCGCTCTTTTTTCTCGCTCCCATTGGCAGCCGTTCCTAAACACCCGAAGGGAGGGGCGAGGGAGAGAGGGAGGGAAGGAAGGAGGCCTCACTTACTGCCCGGTTATCCCGCTGCGAAAGAAAGAGGGAAGCAACGCGCATGCTCAGGTGATTTCTATAAATAAAGGGAGCCGGGGATGAAACCGCGCCATTTTGTGTTGGGCAGGGGAGCTGTTAGGAAGCCTTTGAGTTAGGGCTGCTTAGTAGGTGGCAAGAGGCTAGTTACCTCATAAAGTCTTAGTGGAGGAAACTGTGACGAAGCTATAAATATGGTTTTAAAAGGAGCCAGAGCCACTGGGAGCAGAAAACAAGAAGGGTTTTGTGGTATTCCCAAAATGGATTCATTCACCACCACAGGATGCGAGTTTGGGAAAAGCTGTTTTATACAGACATCTCCAGCATCCCCCCCCCCTAAAAAAAAATCATACCCAGTCTGGTGCGGTTTATAATTACAGGGGATTGTGGGTATTGTAGTCCAGTGGGGTGTAGGTGTTGTAGTCCACGCAAGCCATTTCCCACCTTTTCCTTACTCCCATGTAGTGGTAGGAAGAGAATGGCATCCTTTTAAAAATAAAACCTGTAGAAATTAATTCTTGACACAGCCATGCATATTTAGCTTGCATGCGGGCAGTTAACATTTCTTAACACTTTCCTCAGCTTTTTAAAAATTGTGTTAAGTGGATTTCAGGAGAGCGCGGGAGATAACATTACTGAACTACAACTCCCAAACTCCCCTCAGCCACCATAACTTCAGAGGACTGGTCATGGTGCCTCAGGAATTGTGGGAATCGTAGTCCAAGGCAAACAGTCCACTCCACGGAGCATACCGAGCTCGCTCGCGCCTGCGCAGAAAGAGACCCCCGCCTTTTTCCCTTCCTTCCCCACCCCCACGACAGAGAACCCGCTCTTTTTTCTCGCTCCCATTGGCAGTCGTTCCTAAACACCCGAAGGGAGGGGCGAGGGAGAGAGGGAGGGAAGGAAGGAGGCCTCACTTACTGCCCGGTTATCCCGCTGCGAAAGAAAGAGGGAAGCAACGCGCATGCTCAGGTGATTTCTATAAATACAGGGAGCCGGGGTTGAAGCCGCGCCATTTTGTGTTGGGCAGGGGAGCTGTTAGGAGGGCTCTGAGTTAGGGCTGCTTAGTAGGTGGCAAGAGGCTGGTTACCTCATAAAGCTTCAGTGGAGGAAACTGTGACGCTCTTTTCTTGGTGGGTGGGAGATGCTGTTTTATTTCAAACAACGCAATCCAGTTTTTAGGCTCCAGTTCTGCCTGAAATAGGAGCTAGTGCATGGGGTCCCCCCCATTGAGGACTAAGATTGGCTGGGGGGGGGAGCAGAGACCCCGGTGCTTTTACAATCAATTTAATCTGAGAAGAAATGGACCTGTATCACCACAATAGTTCTGTTTGAAGAGTTAAGCTGCTTGAAGTGTTAGGATTTTGGGTGGGTGGGGGACTATTTCACAAATTTGTTGGTCCAGAGACCGTTTGCTGTGGGATTTTTGTAGGGCTTACAGGATTTTTAATGAGGTATTAGTGGTGCAAGGGAGTAAGCTATGTTGCATGGGTGAAGCCATGTTACTGCTTACAAATCATCTTAAAGAATACAGCTGCATAAAACTACACATGTAGCTTGTTTTTTGCTAATTAGATCAGGGTAAATTCCAAATCTTTTAAAGAGAAGAGCTGTTTTTTCCAGAGACACAAACCTTTTGAATTTTATGATCTAAAGTTATTAATAGAAGGGAAGAGGGCTGCTGAGAAATGTTTTAGCAGTTCACAACTATAAATATTGGAAGTTTCCTGTAAAAGGTGATTTTGTTCCCCAAGTGCTGCATTAAAGGTTTTCTCCCAAGACATGGGAGGAATAATCCCACCCCCCATTTGCTTTCCTTGTTTTCTATTTTTCACATTTGCGAAGTTTCCTGTAAAAGGTGATTTTGTTCCCCAAGTGCTGCATTAAAGTGTAGCTCTATTTGCATTTTTCCAAGATTGAATAGTGTACTGTAGTAGTATTGTATAAGAAAAGCAGATTTGAAAGAAAGCATGAACAGCTAGCCTGACTACAGGGGGAAAGGGACATAAAACTCTTGATTATATTAAGTTAACCACTTATTTCAGCATTTAAGGTGATAATGCTGTTTTTTAGCCCATTGACCAGTGTGTGCTTGGTTAGGGGTCCCTAAATTGATAACAGGGAACTATTAATTGAGGGAAAGCAGTACTCTTGCTGGAACAGTAGACATACATTTGCAATGATAAGTTATCTGAACAAACTAATAATAGTAGAAAGGCATGGAAAATGTAAAAAAATGCCATATACTTTTCTTGACATACCTACTTCCCATAATGCTAAGAGCTTCTTGATAATTTCTAACTCTGCATTTGCTGCTATTCTGTCCCACTTTTTCATCCAACGGTTTAGCTAAACCACATTATTTGTTATCTTCTCACCTTCTAACATCTTTATTTTGTCTTTGAAAAATACATGTGCTTCTAAATCTTTATTTTAAATTTAATTTTTTTTAAATTTTTATTTCTAAAGACAATTCATGTTACAAGTAATAAATACAAAGCTTAACATAATAAGCTCTTGTTATATAATTTAACTGCTGACCAATTTCTGTGCCCCACAATTCTCAAAATCACATTTACACCATTCCCCATCTCATCTTAAATATCAACCAACAATCTAAATGCTTCAGATTGTTTTCTTAAACCATGTGTCTCAAGATTTATTTTATTTGGCATATTTTAATAAGGGCTTCCCATTTTAAGTGAATGTACTATACCTTATTTCTCCTCTATATAGTCTAACTTTATTAGTCATTTTTCCCATCAACATTGTATATCTTATTCATAAATGCTTGTAATGAGAGATCGTGAGCATTTTTCCAATTTCTACTGATCCAGATGTTGTGCCTATAAGATTTGCAACTAATTATTTTCAAGTTTCTCATTTCCCCCTGTAAATAATAATGCTTCATATCTGTTATTTGACTGGTCAGTGTCTCTAATTATCTCGTGCCAGAATGCTTCTATTTTGGGGCAAGAAATTCACATATGTTCCAAAGTTCCATTTTCTCCACATTTCCTCCAACATTTATCTGATATATCTTCATTAATTCTATGTAACTTTCTGTCAAGGTTTGTCACCGCTTTCCTCCCAAGAAGCAGTACCTTCAGAACCATTTCTTTCACATTTAACGACACAGATTTACATGGGTATTTATTCCATATTCCTATCACAAGCTTCTAATCTATACACATAATTCCTTTTAATAAGTAATGATTTTTTTTAAAAAATTTAGAAGCTTCTAGGTTGCTCAAAGAGGAAATCAACAAACCATAATTCAACCAAACCAGGACAGCCTAATTTTTCTGTTCCCTTTTTCCCCTTCTACTACCAGTTTTTCAAAATTGTTCTTTTTGGATCCTGTGAAATTTTAAAAAAAGATTTATCCCCTATTACTTAATATTTCTTGTTAATCTTAACTTTTCTCTTTATCAATGCTTTTTTCTTTATTACAATTAAGTAAAATGTATTATTTATTCCAAATTAGGGTAGTTTTTTCAGAAATTACCCACAACTCAAAGTGAGCTGGAAATCCTGCGTAATACAGGATCTATTTTTTTAAAACTTGTTTTGTTTGTACAGTGTTTGCAGGTGCAAGACATTGTGCAGTTTGGTTCTGTTGTTGATGCTGAGCGCTGTACGTGGAAGTTCCTCATCCAGTGGAGTGCTTTGTCTTCTTCAAACCCTGCACAAAAAGGGAGAGATGTGTTAGTGTTAAAACCTAGGAAGACTAACCCAATCCTCAAAATTCAGCGTACGTTGGTAATGAATGTCTCTTGGCCGGGGATGCAACCCACAGCACTAGAACTCTGGGGTGAGCTTGTCAGTTGCCTTGCCAGCCCTGGGGAGATTGCATGGGCCATGAAAGAGGACTCTCTGGAGGTCCTGGTGCGAGTTGACCTGGTGGAGCCCACGTAGCCTCCCCCCCGAATCATATCCGTCCAGTACTGGGTGAATAAAAGTGGCATCTGGCCAGAGTTGTTAGCAGTGGCCATGGATCTCCTCCCTGTGTGGCCAGAGCTGAGCGGGTTTTTCCTTCTCTGGACCTTCCCAGGTAAGGAACGTAGAGCAGCCTGTAGATCTCGTTCCTTCCTGCTGAACACAGAGTAGCACCTACCTCAAACCTATCCTTCCACCTACCTCAGAGCAATCTTGACTGCTTCACTCATCTCCAGCAGGCCATCCCATTCCATGCTAGGCAGCCTGTCTACCTTCTCCCCTCTCTCACTCAACCACAGAGCAACCTATCTCCTAATGGGGACCTCCAGCAGCATTTCCCATGCCAGGGCAGCCTTATCTACCGGGAATGGTCTGTGAAGTTTGGGGAATGGGTGTTGTCCCTCCCCAGACCAGCTTACAGGAGGCAGCACCCTGTACGTTCTGTGGCAGGAACCCACTCATTGAATTTTCCCCAAA